GAGTTTGTGAGGAGGTTTGAAGTTTGAAAGGGTTACACAGAGGTTTTTGCTGGGTTGTTCCACGGTGATTTTGTTGAGCTTGTTGGGTATTGTTTATGGAAGTGAGTGAAATGAAGATGGTAGGTTGGTGGTGCTGCTTCGGTTGGGGAGGTGACTATGTCTTTTGCGAAACAGGGTTAGTTTGGATTTGTCTCGTTGGGTGGTTAATGGAGTAAGGAGGGTGACGAGTTTGAGTGTTATAGTTGAAGTGATGGCAGTTTGGTTTCTGAGTTGTTGGAAGTTGTTTGTTGTGTTAATGATGAGTTGAAGCTGAAGTGAAAGAAGATAGGAGTGTGGTAAGAGGTGGTCGACTAGCAAAGGTTCTAGGGTTTTCTCTTCTTTTTTTTCCGCCTCCTCCTCTGAACCAATATCTTTTGTTTCTTATAGTGTAGCATTAGGGTTTTTTCATGTTTGAATCATAATAGTATCTCTGTTATCACTTTTTGATGCCAAGACTATGTCTTTCCATTTTAGTGAATATGGCCCTGCTGTCCTTTGCTGAGTTTCCTGTCCTATTGTCTAGCCTCTGAAATTTGTTTGTTTGTGCTGACTGTATCTTCTGCTATTTTTGTTGGCTCTTTTTTTTTTGAAGTAGGATATGAGTTGTTGTGAAATTGGTTGGAATTTTCGGTTTTACGGGTGAATGCTTCCAAAAAGATGAATGGAAAGGAAGAATGACTGATAATCTAATTTGCTCTAGCTTGATATCTTCTTTGCCCTTTTTATCAAGACCAAGCTTCCTCTTTGAAGTGGAGCTCCCCAGAAGTGCCCCGAAAGCACCGTCAGGCTTTTTAAGCACCTGAACAGTTGCTCCAATTTCCTTCAATGTAGAGATTGCATCAACATTTGCATCCCTAGTCTGCTATGAAATAGTGAGGCTTTCCCTTGGGAGCTCAGATGTGAGATTATTGGGCTTCAATTTTATTTGTACCTCGGTATCTTGATGCTGAAAAGATTCCTTCACAGGATCTTCAGTTTGATCTGTAACAGCTACTGTGTCTGATGCAGTGGTGGCTTGTTTTGTTTTGCAGGTCATGGCTTGATTTGTTGTTATTTTTGTGGCTGAAAACCTGAAGGCTATTGCTTCGTATTACTCATGGTTGTAAGTTGGGTGAAGGTCGTACCGTTGTGCAGGTTGTGCTGGTGCGGTGTGAGGCTTGATGGTATTTGTTTTGCAATTGTTTTTGCTGGCTATCATGTGGTATAGCAGGTACGATTGCACTGCTGCCCATAATCATGTGTGGGGTTTGGCTACGAGTTTTACGTTGAAGGCTTCGAAATTCTCCGTTCGACAGATTTTCACAGCAGGTACAATTTGGAATTTAGCTGCAATTTTTCCTCTTTTGCTGATGTTATGGGTACAACATGTGGGATGCAAAGCTGCTCCGTAATGGTCGTTGGCTTTGGTTGAAATTGCTGCGCATGGTTGTGATGGTCTACGACTGTTTTGAGGCTCTTCATAGTGCTTGTAGCAGGTGAGGTTTGTTGTTGTGAGGTGTGGAAAAAGCTTGGGGTATATACGGTTTGTGCAGGTGTGTTAGCTGCAAGTTATTTGCTTTTCTGTTGTTTTTGTGCAGGTACCAACCTTGTGGTAGTGTGAGATAGTTGTGTACTCTGTTAATTTCAACCTTTTGATTTAACTAATTCTTAAGCGATTCTTGGCCAATCTACGGAATCAATGTTGGAGCTTCCCTAAGTTTACTAGTGCCACCGTGTTCACAGAAATCACTTTAGTTCATACCTTTGACTAATGTTTTAGTAAGTATTACTCTAGAATCAAATTCATCTTCACTATTGTTCACATTTTGCATTTCAATTTTGAGAAAGAAAACTGAACATGCCTCAACAAATGGTTTTAAGGGCCTACTTCTTTCTTTTTGCTGACGAATTGTGTAGGACTCTTTGTTGAAGGAACTTTCTTGATCACCACTTTAGTTACCTTGTCATGTAGATTAGTTTATGGAGTGACATATTTGAATTTCATCTCAATTTTTGACAGGTTGCAGGTTGATAAAGCTCGGCAACTCGAGGCGGCTAGAATATGAAGTAGATGAAAGGAATAATTTCTCGCGTTCTGATGGTGGTAACGACATCTAATGGATCGGCCAAAGTGAGTCATGTGAAAAGCTTACAAATCTCCTCTCCAAATGACAATGGCGTTCTGTGGGAGTTTCTTAAAGCAACAACTCACTTCAATCTTTAATGACTCTTTCTTCTTTTTCAGTGTTGGGTTGCAAGTTTTGGAAGCGAACTTTGTACGAGGAGAAAGACCTTGTCACTGATGAGCACTCAAAAGCTGCTTTGAGGGCCCTTTTTATGAGATTAGTCATTTCCTTTGTATCATGTGTTGCATCTTGTTATAAAAACAATGGAGAATTAAACTTGTATCTTATACCAATAACTTTATCTCTGCTGTTATGAATTGGCAAGGGTCACTTACGACCTTCTTCTGTTCACTGGCCGTAGATATTTGCTCAATATTGATAGTAATGAAAATTGGGTGTAGTTTACAAGTTTAAATACTTTTCATGACTTGGATGCAAAGTAATTTCTCTAGTTCGGTTTACTCTTGAAAGGAAATTGATCTATGGCTTAGAATGGAACCGTTGATCTTACAACTTATACCAAAAACTCAAATCATGGTTTAAGATATTAAATTGAAACATAAACAATTCATTGCATTGAACACCATATTAATTTTGTTGAAAACTAATCTTGGTACAAATTGAGTTGCTTTGGAAAATATGAGTTGCCTCAATTTCAAAACATGACTTGCATTACAGCTCTGAGCTTGAAACTCAATCCAAGAGAAACATTTCTTAAGCTTGACACATCTTTAGTCTTTAGTCATGACATTTGAGATAACAAGCAGGTTGGATCGTCACTTGCAACAAAACTCACATCATGCTTTGATATAAATTTTAAATGATGCACTTTGATCATATGATGGTTGTGCCATGAACCTCTTACCTCCCAATTTCGCAAATAAAATGACCTAAGGATGAAAACTTGTATTTGCAAAAAATCTAAACAAGATTTAGATCGATCAAATAGCCTTAAAGACGGTACTGAAGTAAGGCTTAAAACAAGTTGAAGCAAAGCTTACAATCCTGTTGAAATAGGATTCAAACCATTTGAAAACGAATGATCATGCCTTCTTAAGCCATTGATCCCATCAAAACTGCCCAACCATAAAAAAAAAATGAGGTCCACCTGAATTCAAACGATTTGCAAAAGACCAATAACAACAATAAGCACCCACCAGGCTTTTTGTGGCTTAAACTTTGCAATGTCATGGCCAAAGATCAGATGATATGCAATTGGTGAGGGGCTGCCCCTAGTTAAATGAGTGGATATAATTGGTGAGGGATTGCCCCTAGCAAATGTTAACGTGTTGCATGGAACTTTTTGTCACGTAGCAGACTTTAACGGTTAGAGTAAATGCTTTTTATGACAGATTTGACTTAAGCATAACAATTGGTGAGGGGCTTCCCCTAGCTAAATAAACGAATATAATTGGTGAGGGGTTATCCCCTCGCAAATGACAATACTTGCCAGCACATTTTGGCGCCATTTCGTTTTTGCGAGGGATAACCCCTAACAATTTCCAATTTTAAAATTCAAAATTTTGTTCTCGCATATTTGCGAGGGGCCGCCCCACGTGTTTGATTTATATAATTTTTTTAAAAATATTTTGTGCATTGCGAGGGGTTTAACCCCAAGCAATGTTGTTTTTTTAGTGAGGGGGTTTACCCCTAGCAAAAACGAAATGGCGCCAAAATGTGTTCAGAAACTACATTCCAAAAAATCACAAACAACAATTCCTGTTCAGAAACTACATGCAAGACTTAACACATTCACATAAACTCAACTTGTAGTAAGTGTAGAAAAAGAGAACATTAATGTAATGTTTCCATCTCCGTACCCCACACAGAAACCATAGAGACACATAAACAACATCACTCAGCCTTATCCACAAAACTAAGTACTCCATATACATTCAACCAAAGTTCACCTACAGTCAAAACAAAAACTACATTCTGAAAAAATCACAAACAACAATTCCTCTTCAGAAACTACATGCAAGACTAAACAATCACATAAGACTAAACAATCGCATAAGACTCCCCCTCCTTCCAACCAGACATAAATACACAATCCCAAAAACCAACTCGTAGAACTAATTGACCATGTAAGCAAAACTGAATTTTGCATAAACTCAGTTTCTCAAAGACAAACAAATAGAACTTCTACTACATTGCATACTAGAACAAACACAATATACAATAAGTAAATCAAAACTACCATTTTGGAGCTATTATTATCTATTTTTGTTTTTCTTCTTAAGCATTTTGTGTTTTAGATCTATTTAAATCAGCATTTATCACTATAAGGTTCAAGCCAAAGTACCTTGTGACATTCATTGATGGCTACGATATGAAAAACAATATTGATGCAGCTGTGAAAAAGGTCTCTCTCAGTCTCTTGCTATATCTGTTTGAGTGCGCTTGTTGATGTGTCTTTTAACTAAATATTTTCTTAAACAGTTTTGAGAGAACTTCACCATCCTTCTATTTCATTATGATGGTCGAACTAATGAATGGGATGAGTTTGAATGGTCAAAGAAGGCTATTCATGTGAGTGGCTGCAAACAGGCCAAATGGTAAGAAGCCAGTATGTTAGTAGCTTTTGGATGACAGATTTTCACTGTAGCTTTTGCATTTAAAAGTAAGTTTCAATTCCAAAACCTTGTAATCATATTGACTATTTGGGGTTTTATCCTTAAGGTGGTATGCTAAGCGGTTTCTGCATCCTGACATCGTGGCTTCATATGACTATATATTTATATGGGATGAAGATCTGGGTGTTGAGCATTTTAACGTTGAATAGTGAGTATTTGATATTGGATGGATATTTTTAAAATATTATTTTTGGTTAAAGTTTCATACGCCGCTATTATTTCAAGTGCAGGTACTTAAAACTTGTGAAGAAGCATGGCCTGGAGATTTCATAGCCAGGTTTGGAACCCAATAAATGCTCGATACACCCGGACCGTCGTAAAGAAGACGGAGAATGTTGTCGTTATCTAAATACAACATATAAAAACCATATGACTTGTTTGTTTCGCTTCTTGAACAAACTATTCTTGATTGTCTGTTGAAAACTTGTAGTGGCAGAAGCGTATCAGTAGGAGAATCAAAGCTTTGCCACAAAGTAACACCGTTTACTTCCCGTAAAACAAGGTTACCGGTGTTTAAAAGAACGAGAGCAACATATGAGAGTGAGACAGTGTTTGTGGACCAAACGTGAGACTCATCAGTATCTTTTAAGACAAGGTTACCGTTGTTGAGAAGATGAAGTTTTGAGCCTCTTCCGTTGACCGGTTGGTCACGGTTCGCATTCCATACTAAGGTAAGGTTTTGTGTTTGGTGATTTGGTTCGGAAAACCAAATGGCAAAGGAATATGCATTTTCACCAACAACATAGAAACCAGCACAGAACATGCCATTTTGTGATACTATCATATCTGTTGGTTCTTCCATTGAGAGGGATGAATTGGTTAAAGAATAAATTGACTACTTTTGTTTTGTAGAAAAATTAGTTTCTAATAAATTTTAACGATATGTTACTATAGAATATTAATTTGTTTAATGAGAAACAATATAATTTGTTTAAAGAATAAGTTGATTGTTTGATTTGTAAAGAAGTGCCATGGTATTGGAATGGAGATTAGTTGGATAAGTTAATTAAATGTTAGGAGAACTTAATCATTTTACTGTGATATATTAACTGTCAATGAAGGTTAGAAATTGTTATTATGTTAATGGATGTTGCAATGTTATCAATTTGAATGTTAATTGCCCTACTATGGAAGGTTAGGAAAACGTCTTTTAGAAGTTCCACATTGATGTTTGTATAAGACATAAAAGTGTTTATAAAGCTGAAACAAACACAACAATTTAATTGTGGGTTAGAAAGGTGGACCAAAGATATGAACCAATAACTAAAGGCCCAAAGAGTTTCATTTAAAATTTTGATTAATTAATTAATAATAAAATATTAATCATTAATTAATTAATTAATTAATTAATTAAAATAATATTAATAAGTTAATTATCCTAGTCAATAAAAAAAGTTTTAAATTAATTTTTTTAAAATGACATGGCATTAGACACGTCATCTTAGATAGTGCCACATCATTAAACAAAATTTAAAATTGGAGAGGAGACTAAAATCAAACTCAAAACTTAAAAAAGGGACCAAAATCGCGGTTTTTAAAATGGGGGGATCAAAACTCAAAAAAATACAAAATAGAGGGACCATAGTTGCAATTAAGTCTAGTTTTAAATAACAAAGTTACTTAATAAATATTTTTAGAAGAAAAATAAGGTATTTAATGCATAAAGATGTTAGAAAATATTACATTGTTTTTTTTTACCACGTTATACCAAGATATTACCTATCTTACAATGAGGCTTCACTGAATAATGTGATAACGTCGGATCCACCTATGTTTGTTCTAATTCAATTATACATTCAAGAATTAAACAAATGTCAATAGACTGTCCTTTTGTTTGAGAACAAGTTTAGACTAGAAAACTTTCAGTTAGTTATGTGTCAACAAAGGATTAATTAAATTGTCGACCTTCTCACAAAACCATTATGAATACCACGGTTTCAAGAACTTACGAGCAAGATGAAGGTCATAAACATTACCTTCATTTTGATTGGCGTATTGGACTACAACCAAATCATAAGAATTCACAATTCTGTTACAATCACATCTTGTACCATTACGTACATATCTCCAACTTTTTTGAATTTTATTTATTATAATTATTTATTATATTTATTTGCATCAATTACTCTGATAGACTCATGTTTTCTCTATATTGGTAAAACCTTTTCTATCAAATAAATAAAACTTTTGAATTACACGTCACTATCGTATAGATCCCACATAATTTGGTGGGACTTATATGAATTTTAACTAATTATAAAAAAGATTAAAAATTGTGTTAGAAAAAGTGATGTTAACACTACTCCAATTCACATGTAAAAGATATATAATATTGAAGTAATGACAAAACTTTCATTCTATATAGTTTTAAATAACAAAGTTACTTAATAAATATTTTTAGAAGAAAAATAAGGTATTTAACGCATAAAGATGTTAGAAAATATTACATTGTTTTCTTTACCACGTTATATCAAGATATTACCTATCTTACAATGAGGCTTCACTGAATTATGTTTTAAGCTTTTAAAATCTAAGTCTAATTGATTAGCTAAGAACAAAGAATTCAACAAAAATAAATAAGATTATATATGAAAAACTTTTATTATATTAAGTCAATATAAAAGCATGATCACTATATTGCTTACAAAGTAACATCTGAATGGACCATTTATTATAGATTGGTTGGAAATCCAACTGATGAGTTGGAAAAGAAGATGTTTTTATTACAACTATTAGATAACAATACTAAGTGATAGGATGTATCTTCAAGTAAGTTTTTGAAATTTCAGAATTAGAGGATACATTGAAGAATATGTCTTGTGCTTCAATGTTAGATGCAAAACACCATCCATGTTCGATATCAGGATTAGGATAGCGAGCACAGAAACTACCACTTTTCTTCTTTATGCAATCCGCATGAGACTGACATAAGTTAGGATGTTCTTCAATCATCTTCATAACACTCGGAGATGTCGGAGCGCAGTAACCGAGAAAGAGGCTAACAGGGATGCAACGACAATCCGTAGAGCGACATGGTAGTACCTCAAATGGAGAACAAGCACCTAAACAACCAGTAGCTCCTACGTTCTTCATTGAGAACATTGCTGTAAATAGAAAAGACAATTAGAGTTGGAACAGTTCACATACCATTATTATAAACAATAAAACAAAAAATAAAAATAACATAAGACTTTAACTAATTTTGTTGTTGTTAAAGTTTGTAATATAATTCGATAAAGACTTCATGTGATTAACTTGTCATTTCTAGAATATTAATAGTACGTATTGGTGAGAAATATTAATAAAATACATACAAAATGTGGCAAGCAACAAGACAGCCAAAAGAGAGAGCCTAACATAAGCCATCTTGTAATTGAAAGAAAAAATAAAGAAATTTGTATTGTTATGAGTATGATTTTGTGTTGCATTGCTTTAAGCAATAATTTATAGAAACATTATGACACTGACATTTTGAACAGAAAGATTTACATGTTTCACCAATCGCCATACTATGCACATGTTTCACTGATCACCATATTATATACATGTTTCACCAAATAAATGTATGGTTTGCAATTAATGAATCATGTTAAATTACCTTTTAGATATTGGTTTTTAGAAAAGTCTTTATACCTGAACTTTAAACACTTGCTATGAGTGGATAGTAACCCTTTTTACAAGAGGATAGTAACACTTTTTACTAGGAGAATCATATGTGTTTTCTCATTAAGACGGTTGGTATAGATTTAAAAAAAATGTCATTTTTACTTTATATTTTTAAAAAATAACTTGTCTCTTATAAATAGGATCGGAGGGAGTACTTTTAACACCACCCCTTAATTCATTTTCAGCTAACCAAAATTAACAACACCAATTTCATCCCTCGATTGGAGAAATTGATCAGTCTTGATCGCTTTCGTCAAAACATCTGCTAGCTGCTTCTGGGTGCTACAGTGCATAACTTCTAGTACTCCATTCTAAACCTGACTTCTCAGAAAATGAAACTTCCTCTTAATATGCTTACTTCTCCCATGCAGCACTGGGTTCTTCGCAAGATTGATTGTAGACTTGTTATCAATCATCAGTTTTAGAGGCTTGTTTACCTTGATCTTCAGATCCTGTAGTAAATTTAGAAGGCAAACAGCTTGACATGTAGCCATAACATCTGTAATGTATTCAGCTTCACACGATGTCAAAGCAACAACTGGTTGTTTCTTGGAATACCAAGAAATAGGACCTCCCAGATACTTAAACAAATATCCAGAAGTATTTCTTCTGTCAACTCTGTCTCCACAACAATCAGAGTCTGAGTAACACATCAGATCTGAATTAACCTTTTCACCAGAAGGGAACAAAACTCCATCTTTAAAGTTCCCTTAATATACCTCAGAATCTTGACGGTAACTTGGTAATGAGACCACTTCGGTTTAGTTATGAACCTATTAACCATTCTAACAACATAGCAAATATCAGGTCTGGTATTGCACAAATACCCCAGAAAGCCAACCAACTGCTTGAAAGTTGTAGTGTCTACATCATCACCCTCATAATCAAAATCTAATTTGTGATCTATTTCTGAAGGTGTGACAGCAGCCTTACAATTCAACAACTTAAATCTCTTTAAAAGATCAAGTTCATACTTCAGGTGATGCAAAATTATACCTTTCTCATAGTACATAATCTTCATCCCTAGAAAATATATCATATATCCTAAATCAGTCATCTCAAACTCATTCATAAGCACCTTCTTGAACTTCATTATCTCATCTGAACAACTTTATGTTAGCAATATGTCATCAACATAGAGACACACCATAAACATATTGCCTTCAGAAGTATGCTGAACATAAACGCCATACTCTATCTCACACTTTCTGAATTCTTGGAGCTTTAAAAATGAATCAATTCTTAGATTCCAAGCTTTAGGTGCTTGTTTTAGTCAATGCATTGTTTTATGTAACATGTACACCATCCCTTCTTGATTTTTTTTCATAAATCCAGAGGGTTGTGACACGTATACCTCTTTTTGAAATGAACCATTCAGAAAGGAAAATTTCTCATCTAAATGCATCAGAGGCCAATTCTTGTTAGCAGCTATCATAATCACTAGTCTGATTGTCTCATGTCTCGCTACAGAAGAAAATACCTCAAGGTAATCTAACCCAGGTTTCTATAGAAAACCTCTTGTGACTAACCTTGCTTTGTATTTGCCAATTGATTCATCTGACTTTAGTTTCACCTTGAAAACCCATCTGACATTGATGGCTCTCTTGTTCTTTAGAAGCTTGGTCAACTTCCAAGTCTTGTTTCTTTCTATTGCCTCAAGTTCTTCTTTCATGGCCTTCAACCACACTTTCTTCTTGAGAGTTTCTTCTATAATTACTGGTTTAGAGTGTACTAACATGGCATACCAAATGACTTTCCCTTTTAGAGTCTACCTCAATATCTTGCAATATGCCAAACTCTACAAATCATTTTGGAATATTTCTGATTCTCTGTGGCCTCTGAACATGTACATAATTTTCTTCAGACGCTGGAACAGTATCAGATGATGGAACTCTTGAAGTACCACCTTCAGAGGCATTACCACCTTTAGAATCAGGAATATTCCTAGAGTTTGGATCTTCATCAGATTCTGAATCACCATCAGAATCTGGATCAGAATCAATATTCACCTTCAAAGTTAGACTCGCCTTCAAACTTTGACTCACCTACAGAGTCTTCTTCTGCTTCAGAGTCATCTTTAGACTTTGACTCATCTTCAGAGGTTAAGTCTCCATTAGA